TTTTTTGAACTCTAGTAGTGTTTGATTTACAATTTTTGTTCTGATTAAACAGACCACTGTGATCAACTCTATTTCAGTCATTTTTTTGATTGTGAATTAAATTTTTATTTTATTTAAAGTTAAAATATTCAATTACCATTTTATACGAACTTACCAGCTTTATCTAAATCTTTAAAAAAAACTTACCAATATTCAAAAAGCAAAAAAGGGAATAAGAGTCAAAAGTTATGAAGTAGGAAAGCATATTTTATAGACAGCGATAGTACAACATGTATACTACAATCAAATGATCAATTTTAAAATCAGTAAAACGTTTTCTACATCATTAAGACTTGATCTACTCTGTTGAAGTTTTAGGAAACTTTTGAGTAGCCTAATTAAATTTTAATAAGTATATTTAATCCTCGACTGATCTAATGATCTGCTTGGGTTCTGATTCGATTTCTTGGTCTTGTTTTAACTATTTAAAATGTTCTACTCTTGATCATGACCTAGTCAATTAACCTTTACTGGACCATTGAAAATCCGAAAAACCTAAACCTAAACCTTTTCTTGCCTGTTGTTATCACAAATCCATACTGAAAATCTAAAAAACTGATAGCTTTTTTAACTTCCAAGTGTAAAGTTATTGTAATGGGTCCGATTTTGCGAATCCCGAATTTGATATATTTTCACTCTTCAAAGTCCCCAGAATCGAAAACAGTTTTTAAATGGATATCTGTGTGTGCGTATGTTTGTATGTGCGTTCAGAATTACTTTTCATCTCGATTATCTAGAGAACGATACATGATATCGACGTAGGACCAATTGCATTCAATGCATAATTACGCAATTTAAAACTGATTAGGTTTTCAGCGAATGTGATTCAACCGTTTTTGGTACAGGATCAAAAAACTTAAAAAATGGTAAACTAGCTGCATTTTGTAAGTTACGTAACGACAACGAACTTAACACTGCAAATCTCAGGTTTCACAAACGTGTTAAAATAACACGCGTGAAGTGTGTTCAATGTAAAATGCCCATTAACAAACTATGCATGACTTGTAGACACTTTTGACACATTTCATAGTATGTAAAAAATCTATAGTTTGTTTATGACATTTAACATTGAAGAGGCTAAGCGTTTTGAAAGTGTCTACAACTTGGATTTGCAGTGAATTCCCATTAATTAAAATCCTTAATTTTGTCATCTTTTGGGTTTTTTGTTTATAACAATATATAGTTGTCTAGAGTCATATGAAGTTATTTATAACTATATTATATTAATCTCAGTTGTCCATAATGTTAATCATCTAATAAGTAGAATCTGTTTCAAATGTCTTCTTTATTCAATTTATTTTACACTCTTTTTTTCGAAATCTTCAGTGATTCTCGAGATATCGAAAAAGAAAAAAAATGTGACATACACACATGCACATACATCCATATTTAAACCCAATATGCTTTCAAATGTCTCAAAAAGTAAAGGTATGATAAAATTACGAATTTCAAAAATCGATCCATTTACAATAACTCCCTAATGAGACCTTAATAATGATAATGATAACAATTGATTTTAAAAACAAAAAAAAATATTTTCATCCTTCCGGCTAAAAAGTTAGTCGTGTGGGCTTTTCGAGTCGCACTGAGACCAGTAGAGAGCACTGATATTTTTATTCCATTGATTTGTCATCGTTCATCAAAGCTTTTCATAATTATAAAATTATTCTTTCATAAATAAAAGTTAGAAATACATTTCAGAGGCCAAAAAAGTTAATTAATATCTTGGAATGTTATTTAAGGAGACTTTAATATGTTATTTCGATTATACAATACATAGAATTTTAATTTATATCAAGAGTATGATGAAAATGAGCTGGAGAACTTATTCAAGCAAAATACTATCGTTTAGTATAATTGAAAAGTACAGGATAGTAAAGGGAAATTCTTTTTACACTTTTAAAGATCACCTTATTTTTCATCAAAAATAAGCACATAATATCACAGGAAAACTACTTAAATTCTTGTGTATCTTAGTCGTTTTTAATTCGTTGAGACCTGAAAGTTCAAAACTTCCTTTGACAGGGGACATCTAATCAAAACCTTCTTTCATCTCAGCCCCTGCTTTTTCCTTAGACACCTTCAAACTCTACGTCCTACTGCTCCTGACACTTGGTGTAGAAACTTTTGATTGTACCTAAGTCGAACGAAAGGTAGATAGAAACGACGAGTAAAAAGAATAAGTTTGAAGATGCTTGCGAGAGCCAACGATTCCTTAGTTCTCTCTCTGCTGTCTGTCCTTCGTATTATGTACCATTCACTTCTTTACTTTAAGAATACCCTTAATTGAAATCGAGGGAAAAAACTGCTTGAGTGAACTGAAATTCCAAGTCATTGCTTCTTCTTCATACGAAAATATCATTAAATATTTTGATAAAGAAAATATGAGATAATCGATGACCTTTATCACTTCTGTCATTTGACACTGACTAAACCAACACCAACACAAGTGTCAAATACTGCTTTCAATGTTAACATACATTACCAGTCGCTATACTCAATACAGAAAGCTTGTTCAATTGTTAAATTATTTATGATTTTTTTTATTGTAATCAATATTTTTAATTCTCCTATCTGGTAATGAGATTCGCGAATATTTATTTACTTACATTGTTTCTTAGACAAACTGAGTTACCACCTGAAAAAAACTGCCCTTAACGATTCTGGATGAAGTAAGGAAACTCACCGATTTAAAAAGAAATTTAAGCCACTAGACTTTTTATCAAAATTCATAGAAAGAAAAAAAACAAAAAGTCTTGAGCACTCTACAATATTACAAGACCTCCTATTGCACAAAACCTATCATGATTACTCATTGTCTAATCAAAACACGATTATAATTATTTCATAATTGACAAAATAAAATTTATACTGTTTCTCAAAATATTAATTATCTTCGTCAATCAACATGAATTCGTATGTCCCCTGCTAGTAAAGCCTTTGAAACGAATGTCAAAAAAATCGAGGGAGTCCTTAAATTTCTATACTTAATTTTTGTCATAGCTTTTGAATTCTATTGAATGATCTGATCTTTATTTACCGTCAATGTTAAATGTCTGATCTGACAAACTTTTTTTTATCATAAAAATAAAAAGATATCAGACCAAGGGATTAAAAATGTTTGTTTTACTAGAGCTAATTCATCACGATTTTTTGATGCGAAAATAAATGCATTGAGCTATTCAGGATAATATTTTATGTTAATCATACATATGGAAAATATAAAAGCTAATACTGATATTTTTTTACTGAACCATGAAGCGGAATTTTATTGTATTAAATAATCTGTAATCAAAAAATTAAATAAACTCACTGCGTATATATCAACCAGCGTTAATAATTTATATTACGTAGTAAAATATTTAAAACCAAAAAAATATTTCTATTATACATGAAATAAATTTTATATAAAAGCAAATAAATCGACATGTTTTCACTCACCACTTGAAAGTTAAAAAGACATAAATATGTCAAAGAGCGAAAATTTTAAATCCATTATTTGACCAAAAAATTTTAGTCTCTATAGAAAATAATCTTTGCACCAATTGGCTAGAGTTTCTATACATCAAAGTCTACTTTAAAAGAAAAATTGATTAAATCATTTGAAATTTATTACTCTTAATGGTTTCTTTTCCTCTTTCATAAATGTACTTTTCCGTAATTGCATTTCTCTTCATCAATAGTATTACTTTGATAAAAAAAAATCTGAATCAATAGATTTCAAATTGTATTTTCTCAAATTTTACAAACATCTTCAATATAAAATGATTTTTTGATGTTATTATTTTTTTAATTAATTATTTTTTACACAGTAAACAGAAATACGTGTAAACATCAAAATCACATATGTAAGATAATTTTAATAAATTATAAAAGAGTTAACAATTAATTATCACACATACATGAAAACGCAGAAAAGTAAAATAAACAAAAGATATTTTAGATTCAAATTTTTCCATGGTAAACGAGATATGTAATTTTGATCAAAAATTTTGATTTCGTTCCTCAAATTATTTCAAAAACCTGACATGTATTCACTCATTTCAAGTTCGAACAAAGCATAGTTTTAGTTATTACCATTCAAGGTCGCTAATCATTGACACGCCATTAGCTATGATAATCACTTTGGGTCATCTAACAATAAATTTTACATCAAAACGATTTAGAATACATATCACACTAACCTTCCATAAATGTTTCCTCGTTGAGAATTGATTGTTATTTACAAAGATATACTTGTAAAATAAAATAGACGATAAAATCATTAATATTACACGAGTATTTAATCATTCAGAAGATAATCCACTGATCATTAGAACAAATAGTTTGATCGTTTAAAAATAAAAATTCTGTTAAATTACAGTTTTAGAAAATTGAATTCTCAAAATTGATTTAAGCTTCATTAAATGTATCCTTTCTCAGATAATGAAATTTCACCTTTTCAACATTTCGTAATTTTATGCTCACATATATGAAAATGGAAACAAGTTATTTCAGAATGAGTAGTTAAAGTTTGAAACTACAATTTATTACTCGTCTTCCTCTACACTATTATAGAGTTTTCATATTTCAATGATAATTAAAAAATGAATGCTATTGCATTATAAATAATGATAAGAGTAGTGAATGTGAGAACATATATTTACCTGAAGCTCAACCAAGTCGATTTGTGATCACTGACTCTCTGAGTTTATCCAGCCAAGTTCAACTGAGCTCAACGACAATAATTTATCTGCGTTCCCCGAGGCACTGTAATCGTCCTGTCTGCTCTGATGGATTAGGATACTCGCTTGTTGGAAACAGTTGCGTTTTCATGTGCCAGTTTCAAAATCATGTCAACCCCAATTCAAATGATTTAACGACCTTACATATCGTACTTGTACTTCATTTGCACCCTCGTACCCGAAAAAAGTTCACAAAATCAATTTATGGAAGAAAAAACAACACGAAGAAAAAGCAAACATTGTTCACGTAAATTTATTATTTAATATTTATCTAGTTTTTTAGCAATCAATGTTCTAGAAATTCTTATCATGCTAGTGTACAGTTTTATGATGCCTCGCAGAGTTACATAAAAACCTCGTGAATGTGAAACATGCATCCGCAAGTTTGCAAGTGCTCATAAAAGCCTTAGGGTGTTGTTTAACGAAATGGATTTTTGCATTCCATAAGTCCATGCGTGACCAAGTTAACATGGTAGATGGAAAGATTTACAATGATTTTTAATACTTAATAATACATTAGACAAGGTAATTACTAGGTCAATATGATAATTCGTCCAGAGAAAGGTAACTACAAAGCCGGTGAAAAAACATAAATTAATCGAGGGGGTTGAAGATAAAGTAGAGGGTGATTTATATTTTCATCATTCAACTTCACTGTTTTACCTTTTTCCTTGTATAAGTAAGTTAGTAAGCCAACCCCTCGACTGATGGCAGCATATTCTACCCAAGGCAGCTTTTATCAGCTATAATAAATATATGTAGCTGCTTGAGAATATGCATTTATTAAATTTAGATACGAATATTTTCATGAACGGTGATAAATTTACAGTATATTCTTATACAATTGTTCAGGTCAATATTTAATACAAGAATTTAAAAATGTTACATCTTTCGAAAAACTTCATTTTACCAATGCACGTACAATTCTACACTTGTGGTGGATGTTAATGTAGATTCCACGACTCTTTGATCGGTAAATGGAATTTCTGAAAGATTAAAGCTTTTTTCGGTCGATAAAGTTGAGCATTTTTATGCTTCATCAGAAGTGACTTTCTCAGTGGTGGCAGACACAGTGTCTTGAACAGGAACTGGTTCATGAATGCCCATCCACTTGCATCTCTTTTGAAGTTCCAACCGGTATCTTGGGTGATTGATGGCATAAACCCAAGGATCGATACAAGAGACTGTTTTTGCAAACAATGCTGGCAGCATGGTAGCAAAAGGTGTCAATGCCTCTCTGCAGAAAATTTTTTTTTTTAAATAAGTAACAACAGGAATATACTATTGATTTTTTTTCATAAATGAATTACCGATTGCCAAACGTAACTGTCATCGTCACGACTGCATAAGGTGTCCACGAGCACACAAAGAGGAAGAAGATGGTGAATGCAACCTTTGCTATTTTCATTTCTACGCTTCTTTCTTTGTCCTGATTTGATTGAAGAGATTTAACATTCATCTTTTTAGCCTGTTAAAAATAAATTGAAAAGTTAGGATTGTACCAAGCTTGAACACAATCAGATGAAACTGGAAATTAAAACCGACTTGTTCGCGAAGCATCTTCTCATGGTTTCGGACGGATTTCAGTAGATTTGAATAAAATGTGATGATCAAACTCATCGGTATACAATATGACCAAATAAAAATGCATGCAACAAAAACTCTAGTATCTTGGTCTTCAGTTAAATAATCAAAAGTGCAAGTGGTGAGAAAACCCTCTAAGAAACAAAAATTATTTGTATTATATAATAGATCAATGCCGTTTGATAATAAATATATAGAATTGAAAACCATACCTGGTACATATCGTCCCCAGACACGAGTCCAGGGCAGAAGGGTGAAAGGTAACGTCCAAAACCACGTAAAAGCAACAATAACTGCTGCTTGTTTGCTGTTTAACCGACCATCGATCGGACAAGAAATAGTCCTACAAATGAAAATTGTTAGTATGATAGTTTTTGTTATTTTCATGACTGTTCACACAGCTGTCCTTGTAATTCATACTTATATCGATCAAATGCTATGGCTGCATTATTTATAGCTGAACCTATCCCAGACATACTTCCAAGTGCCGCATAAACGTCACATCCGAACTGCCAGCCAACGGGACGTTCCAAAAAACTATTTACTATCAACAGCGGCATTTCTATAGCCATAAGTAAATCAAATAATGCGAGATTTACTATAAACATATTTGATGCTGTTCTCAACGTTTTGGAGCTACAAAGTGAATAATCGATTTTCTTTTAGGGTTGAACAGTTTTTATGTCTACGTCGACTACGGATTAATGGCATATTATTTACTCACGTTGTAAAAATCCAGACAACACAGCCATTCCCGATAAAGGACATGACCATTAGCATGAAATAGATCAAAGCGAAGCCAATGTGCCAATATCGTCCTGGAGCGAGAAATCCTCGCCAATATGGATGAACTAAATCCGAATGTTCTGGTGGAACATTCCATCCCAACAATCGGTCCTGCATTTGAGTGACGTGTCTAAAGATGAGAATAAATTGTTAAAAGAATATTCAATCTTTTTCCAAAGCTACACTTGATTATCCTTTTACGTCATTGATGTCGTACGTGTAGTAGCAGTTATCAAAGAATGTAAAATCACTGGCGATTGTGATGATGGTGTGTCAGTGAGAGAGGTGAAAGAGAGTAGAGTGCATGTGACAAAGAATAAGGACTCTCGATGTCTATTGCAAAATTAAAACGGATTGAATAATTACTGGAAAACAATACAGAATGATTAGCCTGGGTGTTGCTGAATATGAATATAGGTTGAGTATAAATGTGAAATTCTAGGTAGACTGACTCGACATTGAGAGTTACTCGGGACATTACGCTCCATTCTGCAAAACTCGCACCGTATACTCTCTCTCGTTTATTTATTTATTTTTCTTTACTTTCGTCTCATCCTTTTTCCTTCTTTTGATTCTCACTATCCTGTCGAGTTCACTTTAATTTTCCCTACTTTCCTTGGTTATACTCCCCGAGTCAGTTGCCAATTTCATTCGCTCGGCCGTGGCTTCCGATTTTCCTTCTTTTACTCTTTTTATATCCTTCGACTCTACCTCTCTTTCTTTCGTTCGACACAATACCAAGTGATTATCAAAGAAATAATCAGGTACACTCACCCAACTCCTCCTATTCCGACTCCTCCAACAAAAGCCTGCATCGGACTGATTATGTTGCTATCGTTCAAGTACATCTTGGTTTCTTACTTTTGCCACTTATCAATTTTTTCTTTTCTTTATTTCCTGTCTAAAGGCGTACCAAAGTAAGCTCTAATTAGTTGATATGGAGGAATGAATATCTTTCGTCTGTCAAGTTCAACAGAGACTTCTTAAACGGTGGAGGAAATAATATATAATGATTGAAGTGGTCGCTATCCCCCCCTTTAAAACCAAAATTTTCTAACAAGTATTATTAATATGCTAAAATCACGAATCTGTGAGGTAGGATTGTTCTTATAGAGGTTCGTTTGATTTCACGCGAGGGACAATCGAACACCACAGTAATATTTGAAGTGAGACGCGGTGCGATATTGTTGGGGGGTACGTTCCGCAACTCACTTGATCTCATGACACAATGCTATTCCCTTTTATATGGACTTGTTTAAACATTCCGGATGGCGTGCTAGCTGAGAATTTAATTCGATTTACAGATGAAGAAACCTTTTGTTCAGCTGAATCCAACCGGTCACGCAATTTTATATCAAATTCATCCCCTCGGCAAATCTTTCCTCACTTCTCGTGTCCCTAACCAGCCTACTTTGTTTCACATTTTGCATTATCACTTTAATTTTATTTTGTCATACCTATTTCTTATTCACTTGTATTACCTTCTACAGGATTTATTTGCATTATGACGTATACAACACAAAGTCAGTTGCCACACAAGGTCGCTTTGACATTTTACATTTTAGTACGTAGCTGCATGGAATGATTTAAATTTATAGAATAATCACTAATGTTACGGTAGATTAAAAAAAAGGAAATTATTTTAAATCATGGACTAATTTTGTAATTTTTTATTGATAAAATTTTTTGAATTTGTTTTATCTTTTTCCATTTTTATATTTTACTTCTGATTAAGATGGAAGGAAAAAATAAAAAATTTATGGAAAAGTACAAAGTAAATATAATATTCGATCAATTCATATATAGAGCAATTTTGCAAAAATTTCAAATTCAATCAAAGCATTATACAGTATTAATCGTGAATTACTTTTAATTTATTTCAATATTTTTATACGAAATTTTTTTCAGTAAATAAACTACAACAAATTCGTTTTTGATCTAATTATTAAAAAGAATATCCTATAAAATGTGTATGATACTTGACTTTCGGAATGTAGAATATATTTTTATCAATAATTGAATTTTTTATTGAAACATTTATTAAGAAAATTCCGTATGTTAATTTAACTATTCATTTTCACATCACAAATTTTTTTTACATATGAATAATTTAATTGATCTTTAATTCAAAGTCAATGGATGATAAAATATGTAAATGATTAATGAAATGGTTTTTTTACACAATATTATGTTTTATGTTAGCACAAAAATTTTACTCAAGCCATTGACGAAATATTCTACCTCATTATTCATTCATTTATTAATATTTAATTAATAATAATGTTGTATATTGGCTTGTAATCTTTTGTACATTTCTATCAATTATGATTAATTATGAAATATTTTCATTTATAAATGATTATTCAGTAACCAACATAGAGCTCTCAATGAAAACTATCTGTAAAATGGAGATTTACATGGGTTTTTCGATTATATAACAATCAGAATTATTTATTATAATTATCAAAGCTTTGTTGATTAAAATTGAATTAACATACATGAAGCGAATGTTGAATTATTAAGAATTATATTTAATATTTCTAAATACAACAACGAAATTCAGCTGAAACTTTCTCCATTGGAAATAAACAATTTAATACTGAACCATCAAAAAATTAATGTTAAAGTTATTCAATTACCAAAGATAAAGATTCCCTCTTCAGAAAAAAAAATCAAAATGTAAGTTACAAATAACGAATTGATGAATGCAAAACTCTGCATTGTGAGAATTTATAAAACACATTATGTAATGATCATTGAAATTATTTGAAAATTATTGTACAATGATATGATGATTGAGGTACCTAATTATTTTTACGCTAGAATTCATTATTGTCAGATATTGTAATAGAGTCATTATTGATGATTAACGTTTATGAAATCCTGAGATTTACAGTGTACTCTTCAACAATTTTCCCCCTTACTTGACGGGTTTGGTATTTTTCGGGGCTTGGGATTTATTCCGACTTCCTCCTTCGACATATGTTTTGGATTCAGGGTATTTACATCTGTGAAAGTAGTAAAAGCTAGTCGTTTTGGAAAAACCAGTTTATTCTAAAAAATTTTACACCAATATAACTTACAAATCCAAGTTGTAGACACTATAGATTTTTCACACACTACGAAACGTGTAGAAGGTGTTTACAAATCATGCATAGTTTGTTTGTGGACATTTTACATTGAACACAACGTATATGTTATTTTAACACGTTTTTGAAGTCCTGGGGTTTGCAGTGTAGATTGCGTCCCCGATGCTATATATATATATATTTTATTAATTTAACGTATCATGTACGATCATGTTCAGAAAATATTGTAAAATTTAATTTCTCTATAGAATTACAACATTGTACGATTCGTGCATTTTGTCAATATGAATTCCATTTTATTGTCTGAACGTAAGATTTTCGTCACCAAGGTCAATTTTTTGTTTTTCGCTTATCAATTAATTTATAATTTTTTATTCCCATTGAAGAGCAATAAAAAAAATTCATCTCCATAGATTATTATAGGGGAAAAGGGGGTAAAAAGGAACTCTATAGAAAACTTTTAATCGAAAAAATTATTCATTATATTAAAAAATTTTAATAATTTTGAATGCATTATTAAATTGACAAATTGATGAACAAAAAGTGCAATAATTGTTTTTCAAATTATTTTAATAAATTAGTATATTTTCACGAATGTTTTATTTTGGCCCCGCGTTCCAATCTACCCACCTTTCCCTATTGTTTAAAATAATGATGTTGTATTGTTACATTAAAACCATTCTTTTATTTATAATAAAATGATTAAGCTAAGACTAAAATTTTTAACCAATATATTTAGTATAATAAATAAGGTTTTCGTTGAGAGTCTTTTTCAAGTACTCTCATGGATACTTAAGTATCAGTTTACATTCATCTGTTGATGGTTTTATTACTTTCCTGATGATTGTACCAGCACATCTATGATCGACGCATAATCAGTACAAAGAAAGAGATGTTTGGTTCTCCATCAAAGATAGTCAGTCAGTCTTTCAAAAAGTTTCAACGAGTGCACTGTGTCGTTGTAATTAAACAAATTTGTGGTGTGGTCAATCCAAGTTAGAATTAAGCTGTTGGTTTTTTCATTGTCATTTGGTCAATTGCAATAAATTATATTGCTAGATTCAATCTTCAACTAAGTTGTGAGTTACTTTCTTTATTGTTTGAATCAAGCCGAGCCTTGATTCTTCTTATGTTACTAGATCAACTGCGTATAAGTCACATTCTTGAGGAAGTTAAGATGGTCTTCCACGAAATTATACACGATTTCTGCTGACTTATACCTTGATCTATATCTACAATTGATTGAAAATGAGACATGTCAACTACGTAAACAGCCACATTCTCAAGTGCTGAGATTTTCTCAAATCTCAATGATTTCCAGATAGGAACATCTGCTGGTTAAACTGGTTGATATGAGACATTCTAGAAGATCAAGTTTTGTTGTTGATTTTCAGTTGGCAATCAAGTGAGTCTCTGATCACATGTCTATTGGAAGATTCAGCATGAATCTTCACGAAGTTTATTTAACACTGCTGACAGAACCACTTGATTCAATTCTAATGAAGTTCAATTAAAAATGTTGATTCAATGCTGTGTCTAATTTTGGGCATACGTTTCACTCTCTGAGAAAATACCAATTTATATTTTCTTTCAGGATTCAACAGCTTCAACCTCTTAATTATCGTTCAACACTGATCTGCGATTACCTCGACGTGTAACCAGCTCTCTACATTCTATTGTATCTTAGATCAGCTATTTTAATTTTAATTATTAAAGCCTAATTCAAAATTTGATAATAAATAATTTTAAATGATTTTCATTAAAATTTCTCTTATTTTTGTTTTGTTTATTTTTTTAATTAAATTTTCAACATATTAAGCACCTATAATATATCAAATTAAATTAGAAACATAGATATTTGCAAAATTTTGGTTTTTTTATATCCGAAAATATAAGATTTACTGAATAAAAATTAGAATAAAAGCTAAAATTAGAAGATTACTCTTACATAAAATAATTAGTGCAAAAGCTACGTCGAGAGGATTTTTTTATTGAGCTTTTTCTGCTAATTATAAGCTTCTTTTTTACTCATCTTTTTTTTCAGTGTTCTTATCGAATGATTACTTCTTGGCAGAGCTGTTATTCATATCAACGAGCTGTCAGTCTGTCATTTAGTAGGGACGTTTTTGCATGTTCAAGTGATTGATAAAAAAGAAAAGCTGAAAGTAAAAAGCCTGCAGGATTAAAATAGTCCCTGCGACGTAACTGTTTTATTTTCATTGTCACGCTTAATCGTACTTCTCGCCACGTACTCTATTGTTTGTTATTCAGTTTCTCCAGTAACGATTTAGTTTTTTGTCCATCTACTCTTTTTTGTTCTCCACTCAAAAGTCTCGTATCATACTCAAACACCAATCTCCAAAATACTCAACACAATAACACGTCAAAGAAATAATACACGATATAGAAACAAATGAACAAAGCTCGTAAATGGAAAAATACAGTCACTTTTAAATCGTAAAAATAATGCATGGTTACTTTTCCACGAGTCAAGTAATAAAAAATTATATATGCTTTCCTGGAAGGTGTCTGTCCGAACGGACTTTATGAACTCTACTTGTATCATACTAAAGCACCTTTCCTGCTCACTATTCCCCTGCGAGCTTGACCAGCTAACAACCATGAGTCTCGTAAATCATGAAAATTCGCAGTTGTCCTGAAGCAATTTTATAGTTTAATCCTGTAGACTCTTGTTCTACTCAGGGACGATCTCACCTATTTTTGATTAATTATCGTTTGGCTCTAACTCCAAACGTTTTTCATCTACGGACATTAATTTTTATTCTAAAGGCCACTTCGACTGGGATCAAGGTACTAGTTTTGTAATTAACCGAACTTTCTTTTTATTGGCTCATATTTGCACTCATATTTTAATCGAGCTTTTAAAATTTTGATAGTTTCAAAGTTATATATCCTAAAATAATCTCATAGAAACTTCTCATCTAAAAATTAAGTATTGTATTTAATTATTATTTATAATCACTTAGCAAGCATTTTCACTTTATTAAGAAAAATCTCTTCCAAATTATTGCATGAAAAAGCTTTGATAGATCGTTGATTGTTATACATTAAAACCATCGGTGATTTTTTCGTCTGAAATAGATAATTTGG